AAGAAAGAAATATCAACGATAAGGGAGAATCATTGATCAGTGGACGGCACACACTGGGGATCAAGCCTGCACCCCAAGCATGTGTCCTGACCGGGAATTGAACCCTGATCTCATGGTTTATGGGATGATGCTCAGCCAATGAGCCACACTGGCCCGGCAGTTATATCTCATCTTTTAAAGTAAAATCTCTTCTTTATTAGTCATCATGCCCTTAAAATTGTCCTAAAATAGGCACCTAAAAATACAGAGCGAGACCTTATTTCCCAAATCATATATATATACATACATTCATAAAAACACGCATGTGCTGTAACCAAAACAAACACAGAAGCAAACACACAAAAACACAGGTAGTCACCGGGCAAAAGGCACGGAGGAGCCGGCCTCCTGTTAGGTGAGTATTAAAGGCAATGAGAGTGAATTGCAGTCCGATTTTTAAACTTAATTACTCCAAGGGTTTTATTCCAATTTCCAGAGGACACAGTAGAAGATTCTACTGAAGTTCTCGCACTGCGACCCGGCCACTTTGTCCCGTGGGGTAGGGGAGCCTGCGGCTGAGGGGGCACTCCTGCGGGTGCGGCCTGTGGCCAGCAGAGGGCAGCGGCGCCCCGTCGAGGAGGCAGGTGGGCCGCGGGCAGGTCACCTTCGGGGCTGCGGCTCCGGAGAGAGGACCTCAGTGGAGAGAGGACTGAGGTCCTGAGTGACACCGCACTCGCAGCAGGACGCCCGCCGCCTCCTCTCCCCGCGTAACAGGTTCAGGAAAAGGACCCCAGACGTCACCTTGAATTCAGGAACCCAGTTAGTCCCCAACAGCAGCAGAAGCTGAAGCTTATAAAACACTGGCTCTGGCCTGACCAGTTTGCTCAGTGGATAGAGCATCAGCCTGTGGACTGTAAGGTCCCAGGTTCGATTCCGGTCAAGGGCAAGTGCCTGGGTTGCGGGCACATCCCCAGTGGGGGGTGTGCAGGAGGCAGCGATCGATGTTTCTCTCTCATCGATGTTTCTAACTCTCTATCCCTCTCCCTTCCTCTCTGCAAAAAATCAATAAAATATATTTAAAAAAAATACTGGCTCTGTCTGGTCAGGTGGCTCCGTGGTTGAGCATCGGCCTATGAACCAGGAGGTGAGGGTTCGATTCCCGGTCAGGGCACGTACCTGGGTTGCGAGCTCGATCCCCAGTGGGGGGCGTGCAGGAGGCAGCCGA